TTGAGAAATTCTTATCAGTTAACTTGATCGTCAACATTCCAAGCAAACCCTCAATTTTAACTCTAGAAGATGCCATGATGATTACCAATCAAGAAAACAAAATACCACTTCAACAATTATCAACGAAATTGCCTACTAAACAACAAATCGTGCAAGAAAATTACCCAGATGGCTTTGTGCCTGCTACACAATCTTGAATTGGCTACGTGCCCAGTTCACAATCCAGAAAATTACTCAGATGGCTTCGTGCCTGCTACAAAATCTTGAAATGGTTTCGTGCCTCAACTGATGTCATAAACCACAAACGTAGAATCAAAGCTCCATGAACAAAACTCCAGAAATGCACAGAACACCAACAATCACCAAGAACCAATCAAGCTCTAAGAAAAACCGCCCCAAGAAACTACGAACCACAGGAGGAACGAAGGCTCTGGATACCATATTAACTAGAAAACAGAGTTTTGACATTGATCAAGGTCTTTAGAGAATGGAAGGGAGTCGAAGAATCAAAGAAAAGCTCAGAACTCAGAAGAGGAAAAGACTTCACTATACTTGTATTGTTAAAATCATCATCGAGTTACTACAAGAGAACCAAATATAAAGGAATATCACTATTTGCTTAATGACTAAGCTACCCCTCAACATATCTCACTAAATCTTATCCATTTAACTAAATCTTACAACTATATCCAACTGTCCTTACAACCAATTCCAACTGTTTTGCTGACATGGCAACTATATGTAATATTGCCATGTGACTATACTCATCAAAGTGAACATAACTAAACGCTTTAGACTTGCACCAGGACATTTGTGTGGTTTACAAAGACCATGATTAATTGACTAGTCATTTTTCCTTTACTTGTCCCAGTTTGTCCTTGAAAATGATTTTGTTGATTGCAGTAATGGTTTTAAATAACTTTCTGATCGAACAAAAAATAAAACATATTTTTCAGAAAATTTTTAAGGTGGTGTAACACCACTGTTATAACCTGAATTATAACGTATTATTTATTTATTAATAACATAATTTAAAATAAATCCTATAATAACATGTGGACTAATAGCTATAAACTAGAACAAAACTGTGGATGCAAATTTCCACCATTTTCTCCTTTAATGAAAATGCACCTGCAAAATACACCTAAGATTAAGGCCAAAAGCCTCAGCAGGTGTAGAGATATTCCCTTGCTTTAGGAAACATAAGATTGTTTCCTATTTTGAGGTAGATTGCCACATTAATTGGAAATTAGATCCTTCTAGGAAAGGGAAATAAATCACTTCTAAAATCTATTTAAGTCTACCTTAAGTAGATGATTAAATCAACTTCATAGAGCAATTTATTTTACCCTACAAGAGAGAAAAAGTTAGAGGATATTTGTTCCCCCTGCCCTAGCAATCTTCTACACTTGCCCGTGCAAATGACCGTCTTTCATTGCTTTCTTCATCTTCACGCCTCACCAAGATAAGAAAAAATTAATTTTTCCTTGTCTTCATAATTTTTTGGAGTTGCAGGGCTTGAAATTTCGCTTGACAGAGGTTGAGGATGTGTGAAAAAATGGCTAAAGAGGTCGTGGGTGGCTGTTGTCAGCTTGGTGTGGCAACAGCTTGGTGCGGGCTGAGGTCTGGGTGCAGCGATGTGGGCCGCGAAGAAGAGCTGGGGCTCAACTTGGATTCAGTGGGCATGGGCTAAGGACTATTTGGCTTGGGCCAAGGCTGGTGAGCGCTAGGGCACGAAGTCTGAACTATTAGGCTCAGACCCATGCAATTGGACTATGGGTCTGAAGTGAAAAAATTGTGAAAACATGTTCATTTGAGCAACATCTATGCATGTAATTAACAATTAAAGGTGGAATCATGCTTGTATGCACTCAAAAACAAAATTTTACCCACGAAATTCAAGGCCTAGTAGTTGTGGTGAACCAAGACTCAACTAAAATCTTAAAGAAAATAGTTGAGAAACTTTTATACCCTTGAAGCACCTCTTTGCTTAGCAAAGGATATTCACCCATGTGAGAGCCTTCTTTCCTTAGTCTCCTTACTCCTTGGCTCCATGGATGTGGATGGAGGAACTTTGCTTCTTGGCTCTATGACTTCTTGGATATGGATGAAGGAATGGATTCTCCAAGTTCCCAAGAAAGGGAACCCCTAAGCTTTCACACCAAGGAGAGCATTGAGGAAGAGATGAGTGACCTAGGAAGAAATGGATGCTAGTCCATGCTTCCTAGGGTGGCCGGCCTCCTAAGAGAAGAGAGAGCTTTTTGTGTTTTCCTCTTTTCTCTCTAGAAAACCCTTAATGAGGGAGTGGGTTATAATTTCCTTTCTATAGCCACTTACATTGAGTGGCATAATTGAAATTAAAACCAACTCTCCCTCACACTCTCTATGGCCGGCCATGTGGGTTCATTGGGCTTTCATGCCCCTTGTGTTTTCAAGTTGTCATATGATAGGGATTTTACAACCTACAAAGGTAGGGATAAAAATACTTGCAAGAGTACAAGGTTGTCATAGTATAGCAGCTCAAGTAAGGTCGTTTTCCACAGGAATTGAATGAATAATTTATGTAAATACCAAATCTTAATTAACTATTTGAAAATAAAATTTGAAAAATGCTGATTGTATGACCTAAAATCTTAAAAATGAAATTAATTTTAAAAAAAACAATTAAATAAATTGGGAAAGTAAAGAAAACAAAAGAAAATAGTTTTGAATATCAATTTGAGTACTAGGGTTCTGCCGTCACCTTAACAATCCTAAATAGTTCTTTCAATTACTTATGAATTACACACTTATATTTCGAAGGTTAGGTTTTCCTAAAGTATGCCCTACTTGGAACCTCCAACATAGAATGTATATCTAACATGCAACCCGTCCGTGACGTCCAGATCGAATGTGAACATGCAAGACTCATTAAGTTTTATGAAAACCTTCTGAAAAACCATATAACCCTTAAGATGTGTCATCCATCCTACGAAGTTACACATATTAACCACAAGAAGCTAGCGCAAATTTCAAGGACAGCCCACCCCCAAAATTGCATCAAATTACTTTTCTAAACATCCTAATAATGGCCAATCATCAAGACAATTAGATAGTTTAAAGCACAGTGATTAATAATTCAAAGTACGCATGTATAATATCATAAGCAAATTGAAAAGAAACTACATATTCTTGCTAAGGCTCATGACCTCACCTTAGCAAACGAAACTAGTTACTAACAACCATAAAACAAAATATTATTAAAAACATGGATAGAAAACACCTTGAAAATAAGCTTGAATCATCAAGGCTCTCTAAAGCCAAAGTATTGTGTTCTCCCCCCCCCCTTTGTTGCGTAGCAAACCCTAATGGCTAACAAGCCTTATTTATACTACTAGAAAATAAAACCCTACCTCGAAAAGGTCTTAGAATAAAACTAGGAAACATAATTAAATGATAAAACAGAAAATAAAAGGTTTCCTATTTGAACTACAATTCGGAGTTCTCAGAAAATCACACTTTTGACTGACCAAATAAACTCCGATTTGATCCCTAAAGGTCTCCTTTTAAATCTGAAGATGTCCCCTACAAATATGCAGAAGGAATCTTCCTCAAAATAAGCCATCTTGACCTCCAAAATACTCAAAACGTCCAGAAACGTCAATCTGGGAAAGCTGCGCGCTGGGCCTTTATTTCATCGCCACGGTCAAACGACTTACTAGAAAAATCTGGAATTTTGATACAATCATCTTGAAAGATTCACGAACATCCTCCAATTAGAATCACTCCAAAATTCATCTGTTTGATCACTTTTTGCTCCAGAGGAATTTGAATGTCCTACATTGAAAATACATTACAAAGTATCAAAATTCTACCAAAATAACCCATAAATTAATACCAAGAATAGGGTAAAATATATCGTAAAATATCGACTCATCAAAATACCTCCAAACTTAGCTTTTTGCTTGTCCTCGAGCAAAGCAAAACTAAAAAACAAAGATAAAAACTAGCGAACTTAAAAACTTTATTAAAACTCAACTAGATAAAATTTTCATCTTCAAGTTGCAATCCATAGAAAACATTAAAAATTAAAACATCTTTCCAAAAGTTCCAACGAATCCCACCCCAGAGTCTAAGCTATTTAGAATCAATTATAAAAGAATTCATGAACTTCCTTTGGTGTAAAGTGAACCGACATGGCTAAGGAGACTCAACTAAAACCCTTACCTCTCGTCCTTCTTTATTTCACTCATATTAACTTTATATAAAAAAACAAAATTTTCTCTTTTCGATTTTTTATTCCTTTTTTTTTTTTTCTGTAACAGTAGTGGTCGTGCAATGTCAGTTCACTTAAACTTTCGATCCAACCTATGTAGCAAGCTTTAGGTCAATGACTTCCAAACCACAAAGGCTTTAGGGCACTAGGTGTAGAAAACCCTGAGGACTTATTAACTCGAGTTGAAAAGGCTACGAAACCAACTAACCACCCCGCCCCATGCCAAGACTCTACCATTTGACACAAGAATCACTGTTGATCAAGCAGGACTGGCCCGGTTACTAGGCAAAGCCTTGGGTGGAACAATTATTACTTTATTTATAACACATACTAAACTTTACTTTAAAACAAAAATTTAATTAAACTTAGACTAAAGTAAATGATTCAATCTCACTCCCCACAAACCATGTTGATGTGAAAACTTAGACTAAAGTAATTGTTTCAATCTCACTCCCCACAAACCATGTTGGTGTGAATGTGTAAATTTTCAAAGTATAACTTATGAATTAGTGTCTAAGCAACAAAAAATAGAAAAGACTCTATTATGGGATTAACATTCACCATGTCCATTTGTTCTAACGTTTAAATTAATCTATGAATTAACTTAAAATTTGAAATTTTTTAAACTTTGACTCAAAAATTAAAAATCTAAAAATTCTTATTTCCCAACCCCAAACTTAAATCACACATTGTCCCCAAGGTGTGGAAAATAAAAGAAAAGAAAAGAAAAATAAATATTAAAACGAAACCTAACTAAACCTAACAATAATTAAAAGATAGTAAAGGAAAATAACAACAAAAACGAAAAGAAAAGGGACAAAATAAATAGATAAAGAAAAGAAAAGAATGCACCTGGTTTGAAAATGTGACTTGGCATTAGACATGGGGCAGGATGCAAAGAAACACAGCGCAAGAGTGGCAGCCATGGAAACCAGAAGACTAGGCCCTGAAAAAATCCACCCACTTAACCAGCCCACGTGATGGCAGACACCATAAACAGAAGTTAGACGCCTGGAACACGTGCAATACACATGGGTGACTGAAACCTTAAAGCTCCATTATACAAATTAAAACACACCCTATTGCCATCATTTTTCCTTACTGAGAGCTATCTCGAGCCCAGAGCCAACAGCTCCTTATCTCTAACCTTCATCCATCTCTATAGCCATGCCACCATAGCCATTTTGTCCAAAATCACGACTGATGTTCGAACTACAACCTACCACCCACAAACTTCGAGTTTGAGAAATGAAAACCGGGAACTCTAAAGCCATACCCGCAACCCTAGATCCATCACATTGCGCAGCCAGCACTGGGATCTTTGTCCTCCATGGCAGATAAAAATGCTCACTCTCCTTCTCATGCATGTGTATCTTGTGCAGGACTTTCAAATCCACCGCAGGAAACAACCCAAATCATAGATCTTAAGGTTGAACGAAAGGTATAAATTTTCAACTGCGATTTGGATGAATAGATTATGTGAATCTGTGTCTTTGTGGCCATTTTGTTCATGTGGTTTGGTCAGTGTGTGGCTTCTGTCTCGCATCCATAGGTCTGAAAGTCTCCAATTTTTTTTTTCTATGCATGCTGCCATGAATAATATGATGAATGTTGAGCTAAACAATGCACCAACTGGATCCTTGGTTTGCATGAACAGTTGTGCTCTCCTTCTGTGTTACTTGGCCCACCCCCAAACTTGTATGTAATGGAATTTGTAAGTGAGAGAGTGAGCGAAAGTTTCCAATCAGGGCAGAGAGTAGCACAGTAAACCCCCACTGTGGGTATTTCAGAACTGATTTTCATCCATTGAGGTCTGATGAATGTGGATGAATAAATGATGCTGAAAGCATGATTCAGTTGAATTTTGCGCGCTTAATGGATATTTAGGGCCCTTCGAGTCCAAATGCAACCTGCAAAAACACAGATTAAAAATCTAATTAGAAGAAATCCCAAAATAAAATACTGATTAACTAAAAACAATTGCTGTTTTTTGTGTTTTCAAGTTTTTTTTTTTTTTTTTTTTGGTGATAAAGACTAGAAGGAAGAAAATAAAATGAACGACAAAAATAAAAAGAAAAAAGTTTAGAAAAATTGGGTTATCTACCCAATAAGCGCTTTAGTTAATGTCCATAGCTAGACGGATTTGAAAGAAACTGGTGATCACGTCACTTGTTCTTGTAGAGTCAACCAATCCTTGATAGCATCATACAGCAACAATAGGTACAGAATGAGATGATGTTTGTCAATTATGTGTTATAGGTGAGTGGTTGAATCCTTCATACTTGGCCTTCTATGTGAATGAATCTTTGTAATCAAATAGGACCCTTTCCAGTGAGGCTTGTGTCTCCAATGAGCAGACTTAGATCTTGTATTTAACACCCATAATTTCTGCACTGGCCGAATTTCTTGACAAAGAGTTTGGCTGCCGTTGAGTTTTTTCTTCATTCCCATGTAGAATTTAGCCTGCTTGTAGGATTTTTCATGAATTTCCTTGTTTTAATAGGCTGTGCAGACGCAGTGTCTGTGAAAACAGCTAAAACATTTTTATCAGTAGCTGCTTGTCGTGTTCCAAGGTTACAGTCTCCAAGTGTCGACCATGTGATTTTCCAGAATATGATTTGTTGTGAACTGCCCTGTCCAACTTGTCAGTTTCAATACATTCATGTAGCTTAGTGGTTTGCCTTACAATCTCGAGATAGTGTATGAGTGGCACACAAACTTTTGTAGGAGCAGATTCTATGGAAATTTCAAGGTCATCAGGGGTTGTTTCCTCCTTTGGGCGTGAATAATAGGCAAATGGCTCCTCGATTCCTGCATCAACCTCTTGATCATCATAGCGTCTCCCACAGTTTACTGCTTGAATTTGAAATCCTTGATTGGTTATTTCTATGTACAATTCAGTTGATTCCAACAATTTAGATAGTTTGTCTTCCACCTAAAGCTCTTGTGGCACATTAAACTGCTCAAAATAGTGCTTAAGATGCTTTTGCAAACTTGGGGTGTAGAACTCTGAATATGGATTATTTCTTTCTGAGTTGTTTCTCATATTGACGTGCTCTTGGACAAAATCTGGAAAATATTGCTTCTAAGGACATTGTAAAATATTGTGGGTCTTCAAACAGCAAGTGCACAAATTGTAGGTTTAAATCCATAAAAACCCCATTCTGCAGAGTTGACCCATAAGGCCAGTCTTCCTGGTTGTATATCAAATCCAGGAGGAAGAACAAATTCCATTAGTGTACTGCTCTCAAAATCAAGTTGTAACCTAAAAAAAAATAAAATCAAGTAAATAAAAAGTTATATACAAAAATAATTAACTAAGAATATGATAAACACAAATTATTTAAAACAATCCTAGGTGACGGCGCCAATTTCTTGATAGGGATTTTACCACCTGCAAAAGTAGGGATAAAAACACTTAAAAATATTTGCATGAGTACAAGGTTGTCGTAGTATAGCGGCTCAAACAAGGTCATTTTCCGCAAGGATTGAATGAATAATTTATGTAAATACCAAATCTTAATTAACTATTTGAAAACAAAATTTGGAAAATGCTAATTGTATGACCTAAAATATTAAAAACGAATTTAATTTAAAAAGAAAACGATTAAATAAATTGGGAAAGTAAAGAAAATAGTTTTGAATATCAATTTGAGCACTAGGGTTCCGCCTTCACCTTAACAATCCTAAATAGTTCTTTCAATTACTTATGAATTTGACATTCATATTTCGAAGGTTAGGTTTTCCTTAAGTATGCCCTAATTGGAACCTCCAACATAGAACGTATATCTAACATGCAGCCTGTTCATGACGTCCAGATTGAATGTGAACATGCAAGACTCATTAAGTTTTATGAAAACCTTTTCAAAAACCATATAACCCTTAGGATGTGTCATCCATCCTAAGAAGTTACACATTAACCACAAGAAGCCAGCACCAATTTCAGGGACAGCCCTTCACCAAAATTGCATCAAATTACTTTTCTAAACATCCTAATAGTGGCCAATCATCAGGACAATTAGATAGTTTAAAGCATAGTGATTAATAATTCAAAGTACGCATGAATAATATCATAAGCAAATTAAAAAGAAACTACATATTCTTGCTAAGGCTAGTGGCCTCGCCCTAGCAAACGAAACTAGTTACAAACAACCATAAAACAAAATATTATTAAAAACATGGATAGAAAACACCTTGAAAATAAACTTGAATCGTCAAGGCTCTCTAAAGCCAAAGTGTTGCATTCTCCCCCCTTTGTTGCGTAGCAAACCCTAATGCCTACCAAGCCTTATTTATACTACTAGAAAATAAAACCCTACCTTGAAAAGGTCTTAGAATAAAACTAGGAAACATAATTAAATGATAAAACAGAAAATAAAAGGTTTCCTATTTGAACTACAATTCGGAGTTCTCAGAAAATCACACTTTTGACTGACCAAATCAACTCTGATTTGGTCCCAAAAGCTCTTTTTTTAAAGCTGAAGACGTTCCTTACAAATTCTCAGAAGGAATCTTCCTCAAAATATACCATATTGACCTCCAAAATACTCAAAACGTCCAGAAACATCCAGCTGGGAAAGCTGCGCGCTGGGCCTTTATTTCATCACCACAGTCAACCAACGTGGTAGAAAAATCTGGAATTTTGATACAATCATCTTGAAAGACTCATGAACATCCTCCAATTAGAATCACTCCAAAATTCATCCGTTTGATCACTTTTTGCTCCAAAGGAATTCGAATGTCCTACATTGAAAATACATTACAAAGTATCAAAATTCTACCAAAATAACCAATAAATTAATACTAAGAATAGAGTAAAATATATAGTAAAATATCGACTCATCATCATACAACTTGAGTTATTGGACTTGATTCGAAGCCCATTGGCCCTTGAGGCCCAAAACTAACCCGAAGACTAAAACGAACTTATTCATTTGATTAATTAACATATTAATTAATCCTAGCCATAAATAATTAAACCATTTAATTATCCTTACTCATCTCGGTTGTTTCCTTAATCTCTACTTTACACACGGTGTACGATCCATTAGGTTCCTTTTAGTGAGGCAGTGGGCGATTAGAACTCTTCAAATCAATTGTGAATTGAAACTTACTTGTCAATTCTCCCTTTAGTGATTATACACCTTTAGAGCTTCCACAAACCATGGCTGACACCTAGCAGTATGTCATGGCTACCTAAACTAATCAGAAGAGGCGGAGAACCTATTCAGCTTAGGATTACGATGCAATACAGTCTTTCTCTAGTACAATACTCTTGACCACATTGTTTGATTTGATAGTTTATTCATGTCTTTTATCCAATGTGATTCTCTTACTTATATGATTACCTTGAATGTGATTTAGAATGAATTCCTAAATCTCATTCATACTCTGGCCAGAGATTCTTAATCATATCATAAAGTATTCTCCCTCAAATGGTTTGAAGGTTAGAGATCCCTTGTTGTGGATTCACTTGCCTCCATGGTTAAGTTGCTTAACCCCAACTATGTCATGGACATCCTTTGATGGAGTGACTTTGACATAGTCAAAGATCAATGACCTAACCATAAGACAATTATGATGCCTTAAGTCAAAAGACTACTTTGCATTATCCTAACCATGAGTTTTCATGTGACATAAGTGTGAGAACTCCTTGTTGATCGCATCCAATGGACTCATTCTCTATTAAGCACCTACATGCTTGTCTTGGTGTTAGTCACACCAATGACTTGAGACCAGTCACTTTCTCTAAGAGAAGACATAGCACATATTGATTTTAACAGACTGTCAATGCCCAATTGGTAATCCTATGATCAGGAACATTTAGGATATGTATACGAATGAAAATGGTCTCATGAATCTAAGTTCTTTAGATCACATTCTCCCAATTACATAATCCTTGGACTTATCGTTTAAGCATATGACTAATAGAAGCATATTTAGGCATCTTAGTTAGCTTGTTTTCTTACATTTATGTTGTTAGTTCATAGTTATTTTAGTATTTTAAGCTATTTTCGTGTGTTTGTAGGTCCATATGGCTAACGTAGCAAGAAGGTGGATTTTGGAGCCTTTTGGAGCAAAATTGGACTTGGAATGGATAGCATATGCTTGGAGCAAAAGGAATGGACGAAATTGATGACCTAAAGATGTTAGGATTCCTAATCAAAGAAGGATTCCTAATCAAATAAGGTTTCCTACTTGAAGTAGGAAAGTTAAGCCAAGGTTTCCTATTTTGGTTTGACCTTTCCTAATCCTAAAAGGCCCTAAGTTCCAGCAACATTGAAGGTCTCTTATGCATTTTAGGACACAAACTAAACCTTCCTTGCACCATTCTAACCCTTGTCGTGGCTCACCTTACCCTTTCCTCTCCTTGTCGTGCAAGGGGATTGTTTCTTCCCTATTTTGTGTCCCAAAATCACATTCCCTTTTAATCCTAGTCAATGCCGCGCCTACATTCCTATTCTATTCTAAATCCTTGCCTGATTTCAGCCTTAAAACACATTCCCTTTCCTATTCTTCCTTGTCGTGGGTTTCCTTCCCTTTTCCCTTGGGATTCTAATTTTAAGTCTCTTTTTCCTTGATGATTTGGGGTCCAATTCTTTCCTAAACCAATTAATTAAAGTTAAGATCCTTTCCCTCAAATATATAACCCTTTGCCGCACCCATATACAATGATTATTGACTTCTATACACAACCAGCCACCATTCACCCTTCTACACCTTAATCTGCAACCCTCATCACCTTCCTTAAACCATTATGTGTTCTTCCCTTCATCATACGTTCAACCACATATCCATACACCATTCCTCTACTTTGCCGCACTCTCTTACCAACCCAAATCCACTCCTAACTCAGAAACACATCCAATATCATCCCTAAAACCCTTGTGCCGCAGCATAGCAAGGAAGAAGAAGAGGAGAAGAAGCCTTGGGCGTTTTTGCATTCAAGTTGGATTGTTGGAACGTTTTTAGGTGTAATCTATCTTGTTTTCAATGTTTAATTTAAGATTTCTTTGTTTTGTTGTCAACATGAGAGGCTAAACCCGTTTTAGCTAGGGGAGGCTTTGAAACCATGATTATATTTGTGATATGAATTGATTAATTCCAGTTGTGATTTTATAAATTGTGAATGCAATTTACTTAACCGTTTGATTGAGAACTTATTCTTGTATGTTGATTAAGGAGGCCTACTTAGTTCGCATGCTTGAATTTGATGCTAGAATATAAGGGAGTTTCACATAATCGTTACAAACTTATATTCACAAGTAGTTAAGGTTGTTTACCACAATCATGTTAAGTTAAATTCCTAGCATGAGTATCATGATGTCATAGTTACAAATGCTTTGTCAATGCTTATGATTTTCATAGAACGTAATGATCTTTGATTGTATCTCTATTATGATGTCATGTAGGGAACTTTTGGAGAATGCTTTGGGTTGTCGAATGATGTCATCCAATCCAATAACTAAAGGAAAATCTGAGGGTTAATTAGTGATGTCACGGTTAATCTGGGGTATTAAGGTTCATGGTTTATTGAGAAAGCAACTGGAAATCAATTTGTGTTCAAATATATCATGTGTGGAAAAGAATCCTCTAACTAGCTAATCATCCATAGTTTTTCCCCAAATTCATCCAAACTTTGTTAAAGTCTTTAAGTTACTTGTTTTACTTTAAATTCGTCCAAAAACTCAATCCCCTTTACTTTGTTGTGTCAAATCTGTCCTATTGTGTGTTTTTAAGTGTTTTGAGTCAAAACCAATTCTATTTTCGTCCAAATTAAGTCTTAGAGTCTAATTATTTGATTGTTTTGTGTTTTTTTTGAGTCTTTGAGTTTGTTTTAAGTCATATAGGTTTAGTTAAGAGTCTTTGAGTTTGTTTAAGTGTTTTTAAGCATATTTTTGTATCTTTGAGTCAGTTTTTATTAGATTAGCAATCCCTCCTAATCCCCAGCTTAGAACGATCCCTACTTACATCTTTACTACAATTATCAATA